CGAAAGGCCCAATCCTGGCCGGGTCTGGTCGAGACCAGTTCGACCCTGTCGAAGGCAGGCCGAGGGGCCCAGCAACCGGGGAACCGCCGGGGTGCACGCCCCAGGTCGGCCAGACACGCCTGTCCTTGTGGCTCGTCAGTCCTCCTGAGGGCAATTGGAAGGATCTATCACGTGGAAGGTCGAGTTGCCTTGGCGTCCGATGTCTGTCAGGAGTGAAGCCGTTCAAATGACTCAATGACCGGCTCATCCACGGATTGTTGACGCCAAACTCGCTTTCTGGAATGCCGAAGTCACGACTGCTGCCTCGTAGAGTGTCACAATGGAGGTTCGACCAGCCCTCCTGGTTGGTGGACCGGGCAAAATCGGGCAAATCCTCGAAAGTGGAGCGGCCCGCAATCTGTCTGCCTCCGTTGTCCGAGGGGGCCCACCTGTTGTCAGGTCGGCGCCGACTCGATCTGTACCTTGACGGAGGCGAATTCTGGTACGAAGCGTTCAACCGGAGTGCCCCGGAACGTGTCAGGCTGGACGGTGCACTGCAGAAAGCAGCGTTTGTCTCTGACTTGCTGTCAACAGAAATGGCAGTCTCCTCGCCGCGTTGACTGGCCGTCGGTGGTGAGGAGGACTGACAACCGGGCGTCCGGAGGCTGAGACGGTCGAAACGGTTGATGGTCGGGCCGATGGACGATTGGCTGGAATAAGTTGAGTCTCGGCCTGACAGTCCTCTGTTCCGACCCTTGTCATTCGGTTTGGAAGCGCGCGTTTTACAATGCACGGCACACGATGAACAAATGCGAAATGAAACAAAATGCAAATTAGGACCTAAGCATAATCTTATAATTGAATAATACACCCAAAAGGTTCCACATACCTTTTAAACTTATCAGCATAGTGACGGAATACAAGAAAATACAAATTCAGTAAATTTAGATGCACACGATTTGGCGGTGACTGTTTGGGTTCTGGACCTGCAAATCATGGAATAGAATACCGTCAAGTGCAAGACCTAATTTCCAATTCAGCCTGGATGAGAATTCACTTTCTAGAATCAATTAGAAAATAAAAACTCTTATCTCCATCCTGGGCTGATCAACGTCCGTCTATTAATGTGAAACTTTACTAGCTAAAACTGTGTGACTTTCTGGAAGTTTATGCTGCAATTATTATGGTAAAATCTAACTATTTGTGCATAATCACTTTATACGACTAATGATGGCTACAGCTTTTATTTCGATTAATTGCACAATAAGCTTATAATAAGTCAATAAATTGAGAAAGTATGGGTTAATCAGCTCGGGGTGGAGTGAATAGAGTTCATTTTTCGACTTATCTCAACATCTACTGATAATAATGACACCTACAAAAATAAGGATTCAATTATGCTGAAGAAAAGGGGTATTCACATTAGGTTGCATTTAGCAAGGACAATTTATACATCAGATGTATTTGTCTTATTTCGTTTAAGGCTATGGAGAGCTGGTAGTTGAATTTTTCCAGAATATGAGTAGGCTTCATGTTTCAATGGAATTTCACATTGTTTTGCTCACCAAAAGATAATCTCATTTGGGGCGAAATTCAGTTTAAACCTACGTGGTAAGTGAGTCGTGACTGTAAGCTGTACTAACTGAGTTCATGTCCGAAGAGCGGTGTTAATGAGACCAGTTCAGGCGAAGTCGAAACTGCAGTCCAATTGAATCTTGATGAGAATAACTTTTATAAAGCAAGGCTATGCAAGATTTAATGGGAGCGCAGGGCCTATTCATATGATTGTAAGAAAATCCAACTACCAATCCTTCATAACCTTAAACGAAATAGAATAAATACATGATCTATTGGGAGTCTCGAAAGCCTATTTATTAAACAAAAAAAATGTATACTCGAATTCTCCTACATTCACGTTAGCAGTAAATGTAACCTTGCTTCCTAAACGGTTTTCTCATCCAGGTTGGACTGGACGGCAGTTTTGACCTCATCTGCACCCCCAGCAGGAATCGAATCTGGGCAGCACAGTGTCTATTTTTTCAGCATGACCTCATTGCGCCACACGGCCACACGGCCACCGGCTAACCAGGCCTCTTCATTATTACATTATGTAAGGAGATTGTTGATGAAGTAGACTTATATTTTTTTATTAATATAAACTATATTACTTATATTGCATTTGAGTAGGTTTTGAAATAACAAGTAGCTCTTTGATTATAGTTGAAAAATATTATTTCGTTTATCAGTAGGTTTTCGACACTACCAGTAGGTCATTTATAAATGAAATGTATTCATCCTATCTCGTTTAAGGTGATAAGGGGACTAGTAGTTGAATTTTTCCCATAATCTTTTAAGTATACCTTACATTTTTGTTGAATTTCAAAAAGCCATACTTTCCCAAAAGGTATTATCATCCCGACTAAATTGGACTGCAGCTTCGACCTCGCCTAGGTCTTATCAACACTCTCAGCGGGACTCTAACCATGTCACTGTAGCATATAATTCCGATATGTTAACCACCACGCCCCATTTCCACGAGTGCCCTTGAGTCACAGGGCAGATGTAAATTTCATGGAAGACCAGGCATTTTTCCACAACATATTCTCTGGTCGGATTTTTGATGAAGCAAACTTGTAACTAATGTAGCACTCGACGTATGCTTCGTTCTTAAGTAGGATTTCGATACTACCAATACCCTTGTCACTTTACATGAAGTGAGGCGAATACATTTCATATAGATATAATCTACTGGTTGCCTCGATCAGCATCTTCTCCATCCTAGACGGGATGAGTTTGAGCACTCCTGAGAAAAGTCATCACGAACACATCACCAGACACCTGTTCAAGTAATTCTTAAGCCATTGTGGCATGTTCGTTACATATTCATAGTAAATAGCATATTGCTTTATAATAAAGTGTTAATGGTCTAAAAGTGTTTCGTTTTGAGGTAATGAAGTAATGGTGAGCCTCATGTTTCCAATGAATTTCACTTAGCTTTACTTCCCAAACGGTGTTTTCATCCAGGCAGGAGGGCACTGCTGCTTCGACCTCATATGAACTGGTTTCATCAGCATCAACATCGGGACTCGAACCCGGATTGTGGTAGTGCAGCGCATAATCTCGACACATTGACGCCACACCATATTGCTATGAGTACCTTTGGGTCGTAGGACAAATATAAATTTTAGGGAATGCCAGACATTTTCTAATATCACATTATATGGTGGGATTGTCGACAAATCGATTTTATATTTGTTATAGCATTCGACCACATAACTTTTTATGTTTATAATCAGGTTCCGAGATTGCCAGTAAATCTGATATAAAAAATGTTTTCCCCCTATTTTATTTAAGGTGATGAATGACATAGGTCGTTTAAATTGCAACTAAAAGACGCACTCACCTGGTTGTTGAGTAAACGCGTGAAATTATCCTTTTCCCTCGGTTTCACATTTGGAAGTTTTCGCTGGCTGTGAAAGGAAAAGCATATTAATATTGATAAATATGCAAATCCTTAAAGCATTTGATAAGTTGACAAAATGTGACCAAAAGAGTATGCCAGTGGCTAGTTGATTCATGAAGCCTTTTTGCTTTACTTCAACGTTCACTTGGTCAGAAATACTTTTATGAACCAATTAAGCCTACTTACACACTAGCATACCTACACACTTCATCTCGCCAACATCGCCATCAGCCAATATTCCTCCACACTTATAGAGTTCATCCTTAAACCTCATGGCTCTAGCAGCATTGAGTTGGGGTGCATGGAAGAGTTAAACTAGAATGAAAGATCAGATCTTCAATTTATAGTGTGCAGTTTCCGCATGACTACCTAAAGTACCATACGGCAAACAATGCATCATGTCAACAATAAGATTTCTCGAAGGTATAAAGACCAAGATGGTGTGGCCTTTTGTGTGGTCGCAGTCTCCTTTCGTTGAATAGA